GGAGCTACCGTCACGTCCGATGTCTCGGCGACCTGCAAGGCGGTCAAATTCTTCGTCTCTGGCACGTATCCCCAGATGAACAGAAAGCAAGCGACAGCCAGTCCGCTATCTTTACATGAGCACAGTAGTCAACATGACATGAAGCAACGCACCAACAGATCAAGTACAGCTTGGCAATCCCGTTTTTGGTCACATCAGGTCCCGTCCCAAGGGCTTGAATGATGCCCAAGGTGCATGTGGCGACGAAAATGTTACACGCGTAGCTTACGGCCATGAAGAACCCCATGGCGCGGGAGCGAATGGAACTGGGGGTGAGTTCTCCGAGCACCACCCTGTCAAACCAAGTGAGCTACAAAAAAGAACAGATCCGCTGCAAATAGTACCATATGACAGCGCCGAGCCCAATGGCAAATCCAGCGACGAACACAAGTACGCACACGACGGCCAGGATCCCCTGGATTCTGCCGCTCAATGTCAACAGCGAGTAACTGAGCACGCCCAAACTGGCAGCCATCATGCCGCTGCTGAGCAGGAGCAAAATCTTGCGGCCACATGTGTCCACTAGCACCACCGACACGACCGTCGCCAACACGTTGATCGTTCCTACTGACGCCGTCGCCATGACGGAGTTGTCGACGCCGGCAAAATGAAAGATCTTGGACGAGTACAGCATGACTGTGTTGATTCCAGTCATTCTACCAGCCACCGATTCAGCCACGGACACAAGGAAATACCAACTTACGCCTGAAAAAATACCAACAGCGTTCCCAGGATCATAGCTTTCTTGTACCGCCACAAGCTAACCACGTTCGATTTCTACGCGGCAAGGAGGGAGACTGGGTCACGACGACTTCATGTGGGATGAACGAAACCTTTTGGTCGTGGTCTCGCGCAGACGACAGATCCAGCTGAATCTCCTGGACTTCTTCGTCGAGCTCGGTCTCGTAGACAATGTGACGCAACGATCGGAGTTGAGTTTTTGCCTGTGAAGCGTTAGAGCTACATTATTGTGACGGGGGCTGGCCTTACGTCGTTGGTGCGGTTGCGACTAAGCAGCCAGCGAGGGCTTTCGGGGATGCACGGCATTAGCATGCACTGAAGGATAGCAGGTACGGCCACAAAGGCATTGACGTACTGGGAGATCGTGAAAACTTGGAGCCATTTTCAGGAAGAAGTGGTTCATGAATATGACTTACTCGCCAGCCGGATGGTACAGACGTGACTAGCGCATATCCCAAGAGGGAGGAGCCGAGTATCCCAATGGTCAGCATCAACTGATGCAGCGTCGTGATTTGGCCTCGAATTTGCGTCGGCGCGATCTCTGCAAGAAGAATTGGGGTTACGTTCGTGACGATGCCACATGCGAACCCAATGATGGTGCGACCAATGTAGATCGTATCCTTTGTGGTGGCCAGCGCACATAGCAGAGCTCCAACAATGAACAACACATTGTTCGCCAGGAGCGCGCGCCGCCGACCGTACGTGTCCACGAGGGAGGCTGTTGCGACGGCTGTGAACCATGCCCCAATCAACACAAGCGACGACGCGAGTTCGATTTCCGCATCGGTGAGGTTGAAATCCAACAGAATCGAGCCCTTGGCATTTTCGGCAATGCACACATTCAGAACGGTGAAAGCGTAGCCCCATAGGAACGAACTGAATGCAATCACATACGCAGAAATTCGGAGGTGCGCGGACGGCCGCGACAGAGGTGGCATCTTCTCCCCGGACAACAACGTGTCGGTCAACTTGATCTCCATTCTGGATCTGAAACTTGTTCTCGCAAGATCACGGGGGAGTTGTATCCGGATAGTCCACCCCACATATCCCGAGTGAAATTTTGCAAAAATTGTTGAATTTATTCCATCTTTTTTACGAAAACTTCGATTTTTTCTGTCCGTTCTTTCAACAACTGGGAACGCGTAACAAGTCTCGCAGCGCCATCAACTTGAAACCTGCGCTGGTGGCGCTTCATGCGGCAGTGGATACGTTCAATGGCACGGACCAGAACAAGATTTGTTGCCTTCATAACAGTGCAAGGAGGTTGCACTGGATTATGGTCTATATACGCTATATGAGCAGGCGGAGCTCTTGCGCCGCACTTACTTCTTCTTCGTGCCCAACGTCGGCATGACGGTGCCGTACTGCGTCTTGCTGCCGAATTCCCATTGGGCCGTGATCGTCTTAGTTTGCGTGAAGAAGTTGACACCTTGCTTGCCGTAAAAGTGGATGTCCCCGCGGATCGAGTGGCGGGAGCCTGTGAACGAAAAGAATGGGAGCGGCACAGGGATGGGCACGTTGATGCCGACTTGACCAGCGTCCACTTCATGCTGGAACTTGCGAGCGGCAGCGCCGCTCTGGGTAAAGATGGACGTGCCGTTGCCGTACGGGTTCGTGTTGATCACCTTCAACGCCTCGTCGAGCGAGTCAACGCTGGTGCAGACGAGTACGGGGCCAAAGAGTTCTTCGGTGTATGCGGGGTTGGTCGCATTCACGTTGTTCAAGATGGTGGGACCGACAAAGTTACCGTTGGGGTACTTCGGCACCTTGACACCACGGCCGTCCAAGAGGAGTTCGGCGCCATGGTCAATGCCGGCTTGGATCAAGTCTTCCACGCGCTTCTTCGATTCTGGGGTAATCAAAGGACCAACATCCGTGTTGGGTTCCAATCCGCCGTTCACGGTGAAAGTCTTGGCCTTGGCCACAATGTCATGAATCCATTCCTTGGACTCACCAACAAAGACGACTACAGACAACGCCATGCAGCGTTGGCCAGCAGCTCCAAAGGCAGCACCCGCCAAAGCGTTCACCGTCTGTTCCTTGTCCGCGTCGGGCATAATCACGGCATGGTTCTTGGCGCCCAAGTTTGCTTGCACGCGCTTGCCATTTGCCGTACCGCGAGCGTGGATGTATTCACCGGCGTTGTTGCCACCGACGAACGAGATGGCACGGACTTCGGGGGCGTCGCAGATGAAGTTCACAGCATCGTGGGCGCCATGGATAATGTTCAAGACACCGTCAGGTACCCCAGCTTCCTTGGCCAAACGAGCGAGGATCATAGAAGCACCAGGGTCCTTCTCGGATGGCTTCAGCACGTACGTGTTACCGCACGTGATGCCCACGGGAAACATCCACAGAGGAATCATGGCAGGGAAGTTGAAAGGGCAGATACCGGCGCACACCCCCAAAGGCTGCTTGTACGAGTAGGTGTCGAGGGAGCTCGCCAAGTTGCCCAAGGTTTCACCCATGAGGTGGTTGCCCAAATTGCAAGTAGACTCCACGATTTCTATACAATGAAATCAATATTCCCGAAAGATTTGAATCGATGCATACCCAAACCGCGGAACACGTCGCCACGGGCGTCGGGTAAGGTTTTGCCTTGTTCCAACGTGATGGATTGAGCTAATTCTTCGGTGTGGTCGCGGATAAGCGCTTGCAACTTCAACATGATGCGTTGACGATGCTGCACCGGAACTTCCTTCCACGTCTTGAATGCTTCAGCAGCCGATTCAGTCGCCAAGCGCATTTCTTCATGCGTGGCTTGGGGGACTTGGTAGATCACTTCATTGGTCGCCTGAAATCGAAAAAGGATGAGTCATATTGCATCGCCGCGTCATTGCATCGTTCAGCTCAGACCGGGTTGCGGAGGTCAATCCATTTGTTGGTCTTCGATTGCACGAATTCACCGTTGATGAACAATGGGACGCGTTCCTACATCATGTAGTTCAATTAGATCCAATTCACATCACGAGCAACACATTCAAATTCTTACAGGGGCAGCCGAGAACGAGCGCACCGACGCGCGGCGAATGACATTCGAACGAGAGGTCAGAGTACGGATCATCCTTCGTCACCGACCAAAACTGGAAATGAGGTGGGTGCAGCGGCGGTTCAAGATTCCCCACAAGTGGTGTGCTGCATTCGTACATAGCAAGGGTTTATTACTAAATTGAGTATGCATGAAACGTACTTAAGAAACCTCCATGGCCATACAAAGTTCCAGATGAAGTTCTGCAAAATTCGGCTTGGCGAGCGAGAATTCTGGCAATCTATTGGAGAAAAATCGACGGTTTGGCGGGCGTGGATTGGCTGATTTACTTCAAGTTATAGGCAAGACTGGTTGAATTGACATGGTCGACAAAGTCGAGCACATGAGGGCAAGAGGCTCCACCGATACGGACATGATGTCTCCATGGTGCTAACTGCTGCAATGCAGACTTCATCTCCTTGCGGAAAAACAATCGTCACCATTGAGTGTTATCAACATCTAGGGTTGGACTGACCACTTGAGCCCTTGCTTGCTTATGGAGTTCAAGGTGTGGCTCACAAGGAGATAAACCTGTGATAACTCAATTAAGTGCGACACACAGTAAAGTCGAAAAGCATGCCCAATAAATTGTTTTTTCGGACGAGCATTCGAGCAAGGGATACACACTCGAGTTTGACGGATTTGCGAGGGTGCGGCGGGTGTGGAGGGTGCCTGATGGCGACGGAGCCAGCCGAGATTCCACCTCCAACGAAAGTTACAACGAAAAGGGCAAGGTGAAGCACAGTGCTGGGGTCGAATGTTTGTTTCAAGTTATACCTGTTCGAGCAGCTTTGTGCCTTCACCTAAGTCTCCTTGCGACTTCTCACAACTTCGTTGGACGGCTTTTGCGGCTTCGGCATCCCAATCCGAAATCCCCGACGCGTGCAAGGCAATCGTGGTCGTGGCAATGTACCCAAGAACCACGCCAACCCAAATGCCAACGAGACCAGCTTGATAGTGGATTCCGATGCCGTACGCTGCTGGGATGCCCACCAGCCACGAACCGCAAAAATAAGCCACTGCGACCACGTTAGACAGGGAATAGAAAGTTCATCGTACCCATGACGGGAAGGGTTCGAGCTTGGGCCATCAGCGTCGACTAGCCTGAAGTTAGCCGTGGTTCATGAAGGAAGACATACCATAGCCGCGTAGAAGAGCGACAAGATCATGTACCCCATGACCCCGACCGTGCAGATTTCAGTCATGGCTTCCCATATTTCCGGGTCGTCCGAGAACATTTGGCCCACCGACCGACGATTCAGCATCAGTACGCTCGAGCTCACCACGGCGACGGAGAAGATGCAATTTTTAATCATTTTCGCCAAGCGCTGAGCTAGTTGGGGATTGTTGCCGCCAAGGTACATGCCACCGCGGATCACTCCGGCTGTAGAGAGGCCGTTGATGGGGCTTGTGAGAAAGAATAGCAACACACTCATCGAGTTGTGTGAGTCCAACGAAACCTGTTCATGACACTGCTCGTGAGCGACCGACATGTGAACGCTGGGTTACCTCGCTCACAACTGAAGCCATCAATGCCATCGTCTGCAATTGAGCGCTTTCAAACACTTGACCGAGCGCCAGCGGCAGTCCAACGCGAATCTGGGGAAGGATGTACTTGGTCTGGAAGAACTCGGCGCTCCACACCCACGACCGCAC